TGCCCCAGGAAGTTGGAGTGTCACTCGGCTCCTCCGGGGGAATATTAATTCAATCCTGCTGCCGGCTGTTGTCACGCTGAGAACCAGAAGAACAACTCCGGGGCGAACAGATCCAAATCTCCGCTCACAGATGTCTCCCTGAGGAGGCCGCTTTTTAATAATCCAGCCTCTTCATAGGAGAACTGGAAAGGGGCGGAGTCTGAATCACATGAGCCCACTTCATATTATACAGGTACAAATCCAACGCGTTTCGGGGGTTAAGAATGATAAATGGTGGACCATCAAACGCGTTTCCCGGACTGAAGTTGCTTCCTCTGATGTCACTGCACACCGGGAGCTCCTCACAATGTGCATCAGAAGCTGCAGCAAGTCAGAGCCACGTTTCAATACACCCAGCATCATCTAGACCTTTCCTCCCCCAGCCTGTCACTGTCCCCGCCCCTTTCGCTCCATTGCATTTCAGTTCTTTCAATCAGAAGGCTCCGCATCACATGTGGGCGTGACCTATGGCGGTCTGCATGCAAATGCATCAGTCTAGGAACGCCCGCTGCTCCAGGCTGACATCCACCCATCAGAGCATTTTAGATATTTGCATAACTCCTCCCAAGAGCCCGCCCACCGCTTGCGTCAGGGCTCTTGAGGGGAGTACTGACGCAGGGTGCTCTGATCTTTTAAGGAAGCTATGCACAGCACCCCGCCGGCCCCTCCCACCAGCCGTGGTCTGCCTGCAAGGCATAGAGGAGCGCATGACATCACTGGAGGATTTACACAAACATTCGATCAGCACGGTGATTGGGGGAGGAGCCAGCGCAGATTAAACTTCAGCTTTAACTGTTTTGGGTGGAGCCGCCCTTTTAAAGGAGAAGATCCAGCAAACGCTGACACCGTGCTAAAGTCAAGTCCGAAGCATAATACACCCTCGGCTGACACCAGAGCGGCCACTCCTTCCAGGGAAATCTTTGGGATTTTGGGGTTTTCTCGGAAGCTCGATGATTTGGGCTACAGAGTTCCCTTCCAGCTTTGTTCCCGGACGAGTGCGGCTCAGTCCTGAAAGAATTTATGAAACGCACATCGCAGGGAGAGGACCGGGGGAAAAGAAAGACGGCTATTTTTATGTCTTTGTAAGCCGCGCGAGGTCGGAGCTCAGGACGTGTGGGAGAGGTTTGCCTGAGTGTGGGAGAGGTTAGTGAGTGTGGGAGGTGGTTGCCTGAGTGGGGGAGAGGTGTGCCTGAGTGTGGGAGAGGTTTGCCTGAGTGTGGGAGAGGTTTGCCTGAGTGTGGGAGAGGTTTGCCTGAGTGTGGGAGAGGTTTGCCTCAGGTGGCTGATTGGGAGTTACAGAGAGCTGTACAGTGATGTCTGAGCCCTGATCCTGTACAAGTGTGATTGGAGGTGCCAGAAACTGAGCTGTGTGGCAGGCAGCAGCAGGGGGCTGAGCTCTGTGGCAGGCAGCATCAGCAGGGGGCTGAGCTCTGTGGCAGGCAGCATCAGCAGGGGGCTGAGCTCTGTGGCAGGCAGCAGCAGCAGGGGGCTGAGCTCTGTGGCAGGCAGCAGCAGCAGGGGGCTGAGCTCTGTGGCAGGCAGCAGCAGGGGGTTGAGCTTTAATGGCTATGTACATACAGAATGATATCTGAGGTTTCCCCATTTCTGCCCTGCCAAACATGTGGTGCCTCACTCCTCCTGCTGCATTCCCTGTAATATAAAGCACATGGAAAACGGAGAACATGAGACCCCCCCACATAATCGGAGCTCTGGCCTTTCCTGTCTTCGCCGCCCCCACCCACCCAATTGCCATTGATGTCGGCCATTGCACTGACCCGTGGC